CCATCTTGGCCGCGGATGCGTGGATCAAATCTTCACGCTCCGCCAGCTCCTTGAACATCGCCACATTTATCACAGGCCCACTATCATTGCATTTCTAGACATACGTGCCGCTTTTGACTCCGTTGATCGACCTGCTTTATGGCGTTGCTTACTAAAGAACGGGGTGCCACAGAAATATACCGCCATCCTACGAGCACTTTACCTTCATACATCCGGCAGAGTGAGGGTCTATGACAAGCTTTCCTCACAATTCGCTGTCAATAGCGGTGTGCGACAGGGCTGCCCGATGTCCCCATTCCTCTTCAACTACGCAATCGAAGACGTTCTGTCCAATGCTCTAGAAGGTTTCCAACATTTTGGCTTAGAGCTTCTACCGGGTGAGCGCGCGACCGACTTAGATTATGCTGATGATATCGCCTTACTTGGTGACGATCCTCAGAGTATGCAACTCATTCTGGATCGTTTGGCAGTTGAAGCATCTAAGTATGGCATGAGCTTCGCCCCATCGAAGTGTAAAGTACTGCTCAAGGATTGGCTTTCACCTGCTCCCGTGCTCACTCTCGGAGGTGCACAACTTGAACAGGTAGATAGTTTCGTCTACCTTGGGAGCTGTGTTTCTGCTGACGGCACTATCAACAAAGAAGTTTCCCTTCGTATCGCTAAAGCTCGATCAGCATTTATCAATTTGAGGCACTTGTGGCGTCGTCGCGTCGTCTCATTCTCGCTAAAGGGCCGCGTTTACAGCGCATCAGTTCGCTCAATATTATTGTATGGGTGCGAGTCCTGGCCGATTCGCATGGAAGACATGCGTCGTCTTTCTGCGTTCGATAACGGTTGCTTAAGGAGGATCGCGCGTGTTTGGTGGCAACATCGTGTTAATAGTAATGAGGTTCGACGTCCCATCTTGGGGAATGCGAGTATTCCCTTCAACAAACTGGTTTTGTTGCGCCAGTTGAGATGGCTCGGTCATGTCCTACGCATGGCACCTGAGCGTCTAGGGCGTCGCGCTCTATTCGCTCGTCAAGGACCTGGCTGGAGGCGACCGCGTGGTGGTCAGCCTTCCACTTGGTGGCAGCACATGAAATCGCTGACGTCGTGTCTAGCCGCTGTAGGATCCGTACATCTTCCAGGATGGGGACCCAAAGATGAGGAGTGCCAATGGCTTAGCACTCTTGAAGATATGGCCCGCAACCGGAATCAACGGAAGAATTGTGTGCAATATTGTATTGATTCACATATTTAATACTGCAAACATTAAAATGACAAAAAAAGAACACAAGCGGTGTGTGAAAAACAAACTAAAAATGTTTTGTTCTACTTTTTATCACAATGTTCCATTCTTCCTGCGGCATATTAGTTGAAGTGTGTTGCTCACCTTCAACTAGCATGCCACGATGATTATGACGCCATGAATCTTACTTATCTCCTGACCTCCATGGTTTTATGCTGGCTCTATGTCTAGCTAATAGACAGTTGAGAATACATACTTCGGCGCCCAGTGTGTCTAAAAGCAGTACCACTAAAAAACAACTGGTGCTCCGCACATAGCTGTAACAGACGTTCGTCGTTGTCCGTTCGTTTGGAGTTAAGTCCATACTACCTAGCAAAGGTTCTGAAGAACTCAGACGACCTACATGCTCATTCATGTCCCCTTCAAGAATTATGATATCAGAATTGGTAACACTGCGTAATGCTGTGTTCAGTTCATAATAGGCATCCTTTGTGTCATCAGGGCTGCAATCGGTGGGCGCATAGGCGGCAACCCCAAACAAACAGCGTCTGGTGCTATGGAAACATTATAGTGTTGCGCATCCCAACACAGCGTCTGGTGCTACTCCGTGAATCAACCTTAGTTAATGTCGTCAAACGGCCTGCACATAAACAGCTGCTCAGGGGGGATCTAATCAACTAACAATGACTCAGCCTTGGAGCTGAGCTCAATTCCCACTCCAACTCGACCAGATGCGTGCAACCAATAGCGAGAGGACAAACTGGGTGTAGTTACTTCAACAACCCGGTGATCATCATTGATTTTAGTTTCGGCTACACAACACAAGTCAATACCCAGCATGTGTAACGTGCGTGCGAGTGCATCCTGCTGACCAATTTGTCTCTGAGCGCGAACCTTGAACGCCGCCAGGGAAACGGGACAATGTGGTCTTATAAGAGGTGTTGGCAATTAGTGTTTAGTGGGTGGTTTTGAAACAGCTGCAGATGGTATGAGTCCAGTGACATTGCGGTTGCTGTCAATTAAACCGGGAATTATAGCAGGAAGGCTAGTAATGGGGATTTGGAGGGGAGTAAAAGAAACGGTTGGAAAGGAATGAAGGTAGGCGCCAGCAGTAGCATGTTTGCTTCCCCACCCTGCTGTATGCAGCAGATAAGGCGACCCTTGATAATCTGCGCCACGACCGTTGCAGGATATAGTTAAAGTTTGAAGAAGAAATCATGGTTGTACGTGGGCTGACATGTTGCCATGTCACCCAGACCTAGACAAGAGAACAATTATTGTCGTCAACCAAAGCGTTTGGTTCAAAAGCCTGTCCGCAAGACACGGAATGTGGCAGCGATTCGGTTTTACGTAAATGGATGCCATCCCATTTCATACACCCAACTTGTAGGACCAGGAAACAGTTGGTCTGACCTCTCATCATTGACCATTCTGGTAGAAGTAGCTCTGAAGAGGCCAAAGGACCCCACCTATTATAGCTCAATTGGTCGAAAATGTACGCAAACCGTCACACCATGTTAAGGTCCAGTCTCATCTTGACGACCCCCTTCCAAAGTCCGTGTACAAATTATCTGAAATGTTCTTAGCTCGGGAGGCTTTTTTGTTGTGGTGTTTACTGAGCCAGCCAACTTGCTTGCAAACCTTTCATCATCATTTGAGGTAACCTCATCACTGCAGGAGTGATTGCAGTTTTGTAGCGGGAAGTAGTTTTGGACAAACCCAGGGAGGCCGTGAACAAATTTCTCAATATGGGGAATATTGGCGTCCTCATACCAGGCCCTGTTCCTGAGCATATAGGCTCGATCGGAACTCGAAATTAAACACCGGAACACCGTCGTTGCCACGATTATTTGGTGAGTCATAAATTTCGCTTTCTTAGGTTTTTGTCCGGTTAGATGTAATTTCATCTAGATTATAATCCAGTCTTGATAGCTTTCACGGGAACTCACTAGCGCTCTTTTCGAACTTAATCCTACCCCCCATTAAGATGGCGATTAGTTTGCTCGATATTTAGCTACTTCATACCATCTGAAACAAACCGAGCGGCAGTGTCGAGCTTATGCATCTTTGGTAGTCCACATACTCTCATTGAAAGAGTTGTTTCTGGACACTTGTTAGAACTATGCAACCCTGGACTGTCCTCCATATTCCTCAAGTAGGAACCCATCTGTGTTATAGCCTTGTTCATTGTTGGTGTTACTATCTTGCCATCCATTTCGTAGTGCTCTCGCATTTGTCTAACTAATTCTACTCATTATCACGAATCTATTTATCTGACATGATAACATTACTGTGTGGGTTCATTGTTTAGATCTACTACTGCAATACGTCCTTCCGCCTCCAATCACGCTCTATGCATTTATGTTATTACTTGTTTTGGGTTTTCGCTTCGTAGTCCATAGTGTTTCGTTCTTTGCTTTTCCATGCAACTTATCTTTTTTATTGTGGCACAGTATGTGAGGCATTTCTCACCATCTAATGGGAATGATGTAATACTAGATTAAGCTTTCTTGGTTCCTACCTTTTAGTCGTCTACTTTAAGTACACGCATTTTCTCTGTATGCGAAGCTAGTGTAAATTGCCACTACAATCAATACTTGGAGTAACTGCGTTTTTAGCTTTCATTTCCAGTAATAGCCAAGTCCTTTTCCAGTAATTTACGTTATTTCACCCAACATGCCCCATGCCCACCAGAGGACGATGGCCTTGCTATGTGCCGACTTCAGACGATAGAACGTAGAATTTTATCTTTGTTTTGATGCCTTTTCTTGTATCTACCTATCGTCCAGAATTTTGCCTCCGATTGGTTAGTTTTGAGATTTGTTGTCAAGGTCCCCGCGTTTCCCAAATGTGGCGTCTCGGGGACATTCTTCCCTAAGGCATCGTAGTCTGACCGATGGACAGTTATACTTCTGTCAACTTAACTTTCAGCGCAAGTTAATCATTCCTGGGACGGCGGATATACTCGCCAACCAGACATGCGAGTATGAGTGACCTCCATGAATGTTAACCTACTTGAGAGTTACGCACCACTGCGGCGTTGACAGGCTTCGACCGACTTATAAACATCGGATGTTGAAGAACTGTACATGATACTTCAAAAGAAAGACAAGTTTGTGAATTCGATTGTTGGCGATCTACATGGTATAGGTGCACGCGCTAGACACGGGACATGTGGAGCTTCTTATGACAGGATTGCAAGCGGCATTCCAATTGATAATCGTCGAAGCAGTGGCCTTCACCGAGCAGTCCGATGGAACTTTCAGCTAGGTGATGAACTGTCTGTTAACTCGATGAGTTTCTGTAAACAGATTTAGAGGGAAGGGCGATAACCTAGCTGCCACAGTCGTTTCGACGTCTAGTCTATAGGTGGCATGCATCATCAGTTATTTCCTTGTGTCCCTTGAGATCAGTGTCCTGTGCTCCCATTATTACCATTATCACTGGTTCATTTTGCTTGCTTCACTTCTGCTGATTCAATTTGCTTAGTGGGATTTTTGCACCAAAATTAGACGTTATTTGTCAAATTAGCTGCCCTCTTGGTTTTACTTGTTTCAAAACCCAGTTGTTTGACGCACCACCCTGAAGGACTTATTGACTAACGGGGGATGTCCCTTTGCGTTAGATAGCCATTTGGTTTAATGGGCGTAACTGATCGCGATTACCTTGATTTTCTCATATTTGTTAGCTGATTTCCTATCAACTTGGGAGATCTCATGCAGAAGGTGACGGCAAGTCAGATTGCATTTACATTCTTTTTAATTTATAGCTCTAACCCCTGCACCACAACCGCCACAGTGTGTTCAAGCTTCCCGGTGACTGCCACCACCGTTGGTTTGTTCCGCTTTGGGTTTAGTAGTGGAACTGCTAACCCTCCGTGTCAACCAAGCTCACTCATTTCACAACCTTCGATCCTCAATCACAAGTAAGTTTAATTACTTTATGAGAGTCTTTTTTATCCGCACCCTCTTTACCACTAGCATTCCCCTGACTTACAGATAGTCATGTAGTCTTGCCACCCCACCACAAGACAGTTGGAACCTCCTCCTTCTCCTCTTCCTCATCATACACGTTAGCTAATTTGCCACAATACAAAAAGATCAGAGATTAAACGTTACAAAAGCTGAAAAAAATAACCATGCCAAAATCACATTATGCATTGGGTTGAGATCGTTGTTGGAGGGGGAAACTAAGGGGGAAAGGAGGGACAAAGTGATTCACAACACAGTCGCCATTAAGGTCGGATCCTCGCCATATCAATTAGTGTATCCAACCGGACGTGTTCATCATCCTTCGGACCCCAGCCTGTCAATCGGCAAACATCAATTGACGCCAAGTTCGAAGTGCGGGACTTACCTTCTTGACCAAGTCATCGCTTGGCCTCCCCTCTTCTTCCATCCAGACCCCGGAAGCGCAAACAACGCACCATCCGGGAGTCGGTGTGCTAGAATGCTGCTGGAACCTAACGTTATTCGATGGTCAGCTTGGTAGCGCGTTTCTAATGCCTTTTGAAGTTGGCACTGTCGTATTTGACTTCGATAGCTGCAAGGTTCAAGAGGCTTGAAGCGTTTTTCTGCCCTGCGCCCGCGGTGCTGCGTACACAAGTTCATACCAAATTCGAAGTGCCAATCAAGCGACGGAGCCCTTGCTCGTTACTGATACCTACAGCAAGTGCTTCGAGAACTCACATTTCATAAGTTGGTAACTTAACACTCCAGGAAACTATCAGTCGTTTCGGTTTCCCTGGCACTCGTGTTTGATTACAGGCTTCGTTCTCTGTAATTTACCTGATTTCCAGCACTTCATAACAAGTACTTTCCTTCACCTCTTCTTTCGCAAAACTGATTAAAATCAGGAATATTTCTTGCTACTTTCTGGGGCACTCAAAAGTTCTAAGTGTAAAAACCGAATTCAGTTAGTTCCGTAAGCTTACAGCCTGCCGTTTGTATAAAGGAACGTTCCCACAAATTCACTTTAGGTATCCACGATCCATTTATTATCTAACGGGAATTATCGAGAAGAATAGCACCAAAGTTGTATTGCAATCAGAGGCGTGACTCAATCCCAAGAAACCTTGGAGTCGATCAATATGTGCTTGAGCAACAGTACTTGGGATTCACATTTACTTAGACTAGGCACACTCACATCTGCTGGCAATGGATAGTTGTTCCTGTGCACCAAACAGCTTATTCCATATGCTCCCTCAAGCACAGAAGGACGATGCCCGCACGGTTCGGGATATATCCATGAGTGAGGCTATGGATTAGTCACTGTTACATAAAATGACACGGAAGATACTGTCGGCCAATTTAAATCATGTACCTAACATTAATTATGATAACTTAAGTGATTAGATTGTACCTTGCTAGTATCGCAGTTTTCCCTTTGGAAAATCGCTCATTCAGAATGCTCTTGAGAAAATCTTTACTTTTCCATCACGCAATGCTTGTGATCGCTTCTCAGACCTGTCAACCTGGAATTTAGGCGCAAATCTAAGGAAAATAACAGTTCATACGATCTGCAGGCTCCTACAGTTGTCGACCCCCCTTCCCCATTATCTCAATAATTGGTAGTTGGTTTAGCCGCTATTCAGCATTATACGCTACGCTTAGGATATACTTTGACACACTTTCGCCTTTGTCGAGAATAAACATCTATTTATTTACACCTTTACACTTCGTCAGATGCCGGAACAATGACACACGCTCACTGTTCACTACAGAAGTGTTCCTCCAATTGAAGACTACCTTGGTTTAGTTGACATTGCTCACTTACGGTCCTACCAATCCTTGATATGCGCGCCAAGGAATCTTATTCCTGTTCTGAAATCTACATGGCGTCTATTGTTATCGAGTAATGATCAACTAGAGTCCTTCACAAGTGGAGTGCATCGATATTGCCTTATGTCCCATTGGAATGCTCAGGGATGAATATCACTTCAGTTATTTCTACCAGATGACCGACTGACAAAGTAGGAGTGAGTAGTGGAAGGATTTAAATGACGCGATCTGAATTCATTACAACTAGGCTCAGTCTTGCGACCAACACACATCAGCAGGCGACCATTTCAACTTTTTCGGGAATCATCAGTAGCAAGCGCTTCGTCTGTCACGAGGATCATCATCATCAGTACACGTTAGCTGAGGATAAGAAACACACCTCAGCTAATGTGCCGCAATACGGAAAGATAAGCGACTCAAAAATTGCACTACCAACTACACTACAAAAATATGATGTTAAATATTATATGCGTTTTGCATGAGATCTGGATTGAGAGGGGGACGGACAAAGAAACTCACAACACACGCCATTGGGACCTACTCTTCGCGCTACCATCAACTGTATCCAACCAAACGTCCTTAAGACCTCAGCCATACCGTCGGGAAACACCGACCGACTCCAGTTTCGAAAAGAGGGTTTTTATTTCTCTCGACTAACTCATCGCTTGACCTCTCCTACTCCTCTTCCAACCGCACCCCGGCGTGCAAACAATGCACGTCGCGGGAATCGGTGTGCTGGCATGCGCAACACGTGGCCCAGCCATCGGAGCCCGTTGCATGATCTAATGGTGCTGTGCTGTTCACTCGCTCTTCCTGCATCAAATACGCGACGCCGAACACGCTCATTGCTCATGCGGTGCTCCCACCAGAGATGAGCTAAGCTGGGAAGACAGCGATGATCGAATGTAACGAGCCTCTGTCTGTCAACCTGATTAATATTAACGACCGACCATACTAGACAACTTATAACTATCTTCTCTTGAATAGTCATCTCTAGTGCAGCTCTTCAAACGATGTCAATTAGGGTTAGCACACGGAGCTGCGCTGAGCACTATTTACTCGTGGTTGCTGCATGTAACAGCTGACTGCGGTCCTGACGCTTCCAAAAACCAAGTTCATATGTTGCTACACAGTCTATTTAGTTACAACCCTACTTGAGTATATCGATGTGCATTCAGGTCATATAAACTCCCAAAAGACTCGTTCCGAACACACGGACAGTGGCGAACCTTCGTTTCAATTTTACACGGACCATCTGCACAGGACATCTGTGTGCCACTTCATGTCCTCTGACAAATGATCGGTAACAGGCCCACCCTCGTCTTGGATCGCATGCGTCGTGTCTGGTGATAGTTTAGCACACTGTCGACATTCCATGAAATTTGCCTTTAAGCGTATTGGTCGATTTCCTCGTCCGTCAGTTGGAAAGCTGCTTAGCCCTTCTGCTAGGATTCCCTGCCTATCAGTTACCCTGGGACATCAATCCTTACGTTTTAATTGCCATGCATCACTCGGATCCTTGCTGCTTGTGACACTACCAATAGTCGTCGAACCGAACACTGAATATCCGAAACGTGGTGGGCCTAGTAGGATTCGAGAGAAAATCCCTACTGGCACAGAGCACATTGCGACTGGACATCTCATCAGGTACTGTCCAAAACGGAGCTTGAGCGCTGACCTGAGTGTCTGGTGGTCTTAACTGGCTCAATACATCGGAGTTAGAGCTGCGGGGCAGTTGCCGCAAACCATTCCAGCAGATCCGCACCACTAGTTTCGAGGACTTATGCGTTATTGTGACGACATACTCCACGATAACTTACGCCGTCTGGTTCGTTAGGCTAGACACTTTCGAGGGCAGTTCAGTTAGCTCCCTACTCCTGGACCTCTTTTTGCTAGAGTGGTGCAAGTTGGACCGTGGCCGGTCAATTTTGAGTTTCGAAACGCCGTCACAACCCTCACTCGTTTCCCCTTCTCTCATGCACTGGGTGTGCCTAGGAATAGTGGTGATCTTCTCCATAACCTTATAACCCACCTTGAACAGGCACGAAAGGGAATTGTCTCTTCAATGTTTGTATGGAGTAGTTCACTTCTACGCAGGATCTTGTTCTCCCTTATTATTCCTTGTTAGGACATATGTTATAGTCGTAGCTTTTCCTAGGTATACCAGTTTACCTCACTGTTCCCGCCATTATGATTTATCATCATCATGATTACGCGAGAAGAAGGGTTGGCGTACTTTGTGCCAAAATCATCGCGGCATTAGCCTTATTTCCACTGTATCATTTTTCGACGACCATCTGGTCCCCACGATAACCGAATCACTGAAAATGAAGCTGGCTTCCGCCCTAGTCGTGGTTGTATCGACCACCTTCTCACTCTTCGCCAAATTTTAGGGCAGAGACAGACGACCGATTATGGTGGGTTTCTTTGACTTGGAAGCCGCCTTGGACTCTCGGCCTTGCCAGTTTGTGACACTGTCTATTCATAAAGGGCGCGCCAGGTAAACTAATTTCCAGTACACTGTCTCTACCGTGACTCCTGTGACCGCGTAAAGTTCTACGGGATACTGTCTTCTGGGTTCCTCACGACGAGTGGGGTTCACCAGAGTTGTCCTATATATCCTTTCCTCTACAATTTTGATCGAAATGATCATGAATAACTCGGTCCTTTCAGACTCTACCGGGATGGAACTTCTTCCAGGTGACCGACTGACGAACCTTGAGTATGCGTACGACATACCTCTCCTTGCATCTGACACATTGCCTATGCAAGCACCTCTGTATAAGCTGACGCGTAGCGATGCATGCTTCATCATGTGCTTTCCACCTTCAAAGTACTCTTACAGACTGGACCAACACACCTCCGGTTTTAGCTATTTCCGATCAGCCACTGGAAATGGTGGATCGGTTCACTTACCTTAGTAGCTGTACCCTCTGGTGATCACATCACTGATAAGGTAACTTCGCTTGTGGCTTTCCAGAGACTCAACCATCTGTTTGGATGGCGGGATATCAGTCTGTCAATGGCAGGTAAGGTGTATAAGGCTGCGATAAGACCGGCCTTACTGTACGGATCAGGGGCGTGACCATCTCGCGTCAGACACTAAACACTTGGCCGTGTTTGACTACCGGTGTTTGCGGAGTATTGCTCATGTCTGGTGGGAACGCTGGATAAGCAATGTTGACACCTGCCAGTTGGTTTTTGTCAAGAAACCTTCTGGTGCCTCACTCGAGTGTTTGCTGAATCTTAATCGGTTACGTTGGTTACGCCATCTTTCTTATGCCCTTTGACTGGCTTCGCCGTGTCTGCACAAAGCAGGGCGAAATCACGAGGTGGCCAGTCCATGACATGGCATAGTGGGATGAAGAAATTGACTGAGAGACTTGGTCAGGCTGGTGGATTTGGGCCTCAGGATGGTCCACACCGATGATTGGAAACAGACATGGCACAGTCGCGCAGTCATTGGCGTTTTGCATTCGATTCGTTTGATCTGGTTGTTAATTCTCGTTCCATTTTAATTAGTCTAACGCACTTCCTTCTTGCTTCCATTTTCATCAACTTCTATATGCATTCAAGCCCACTATCTTACCGTTGTTATCTAATGTTAATCTTGCTACGTGAGTCATGGCAACTGGGTCTGCCGCACTTCGGTATTCGGATGACGATTGCTTCGCTGATCGGCAGTGACTTATATCGCGGAAGCCAGCTTGGGCCCTCTTTTTGCACATGTTCCCTATTGCTGCCCGCGTTCACTGCGGCAAGCAACTATGGAGACTATTTGTCATTCGTACTATCAAGTAACATCCAGAAGAAATCAATTCCTGATCAAATTGGCTTTACTGTTTCTGCGTCATTTCATTCTGTTGTCCAAATCAGGCCTACCCCACCGTGTGACAGCGCGAACAATTTGAGCAAGTGGGAGTGTCCAACGTGCATGGTCTTCAATGATGGCGATAAATCCTCCTGCGTCTGTTGCCGAACCCTTAAACCTGTCGATAAATTGGCCGCACCGATATCTCAGACGGACGCATCCAAGATTTTATCAACTTCTGTGTTGACTAGGTGAGTCATGCTGCTTCAGGTAATTTTTCGGTTTTTTTCTTTGGCCACACTGTCAAGAAGTGATTGTCGTCAAGCAGTCGTCACAATTCAAGTTTGAACTTGTGAAGCGTCGGTCGGTGGTCGAGTGGTATGCGCGTCTGGTTTGCCACCATAATGTCACCGGTTCGAATCCGCGTGTGGGACGGGCGTCCTCGCGGTATACTCAGCCCACGCGCGACTGGTGGTGGTCGCGTGGCACTGAAGCGCCATTACGATGTACAGCTGGCGATTTATTTTATTTATTATTTTTTATGCTTGTGAAGCGATTGGCGCAATGCCGCTGCTCTTCTTCGTATCACCCTTAGTTATCAGCCGCATCATTGTCGCTGTGATCCAGTCCGTGAATCATTATGCAGCTTTTGCCATCAGTTCGTGTTTGCCGCTCCTTTGTGTGTCGCATATGCGTGCTTCATTTTTGCAGGATCCGCACATTTATTTGTCGAATTGTGATGCACCAACAAGTCACATGCAATTTATTATCATTCCTCTTGTTTCACCGTTGATAGTTACTGTTGCTCACTGGTTCGCTCCAGCCCATCTCAATGTGGATTGGTCAGGGTTCCCAGATCGCAACATCACTGAAGCCTATGCGGCGGCGGTTTGCCAATCAGGTTTACAAATAATGTCACCTGAAAGTGTACATTTGTTGTTGTGCAACATCCATCCGGATAGGAGCGCTCAACCTGGAGCTTACACTGTTCTCTAACTATACCCCCCCCCCCAAACACCGCCACCGACCCGATCGCTAGTCTTCATTTACCAACGATAAATATGAACGGAATTTCGATTGAACTCATTTCTAATGCTATGTGAAGAGAACGCAAGGAGTTACTTACTGGCTTACCTTGAAGGTGATGACTCTACTGAGTAATCATTTGTAACTTATCAACAACATCCTGCAAATTGCTCTGATCAAGGGTTTACGGATTTGTCAGGCACGTTAATAGGTCTGTGGACCGCTATCCAGAAACGGCAGGCGTTGAGTAATGTCTGAGTACACCAGGGGCACGGATCTATGAACTTGTTGTCAGCAATACTTGGCCCATCCACTCGTACTATGGACAAGGTATCTGAAAAAAACAACTGCAGGCCCGTTGCCTCGGCCGTTTGTTGGCGTCTCTGACTCCCCCTACAGTTTTAGTGACCCCCGCTGTTTGGACTCGCCTTGTTGAAGCCTATAAATTTAACATCGCTTTGTTAATTCAAGTCCACAACGACTCGCTATATGTCGGCTTAGTCGCTAATTAACACGATGTGGTCTACTAAGAGTTCTAAGGTGTTCGCTGACTTTCACATGTAGGTCGCCAAAGCGGTTTTTTGAGCAAACAGAGAACTTTCTGCAAACTAATTCAACTCTTGCTGCTATAATCACCGACCCCTTTTCGCACACACCCTACTGGAGCGCATGAAACCTCAGAAATGAAATCTGTACTCTACCTTTCCCTTTTGAAGTGCCGTAACAGTTGATGCACTAGGGTCACTTCTCAAGCATGCCTTTGACACTGAATACTTCAACTTGATGTGATGGAGATTATTTCCATTCTGAACTGTCTGTATTATGACTCCTGACGCTGTGTAGTGGTCTCCCCCAAACTCTACCCGTTATCCTCGGTGCTTCTCTGTGCTTATCTGTTTATCTTTTTATCATCCATTTGCTCATGCCAAATCTTATTCCCTAATCTTATTTGGCGTACACGTTGTATCATATGATCGACTAACGCAGTCGGAGCGCACGGCTCCGCTTGTAATTTGACAGTTGGATAGCGTTCCATGATGCCTCGTTTGCTTCACGGTGGCACTAGACCAGTACCGCCAACTACTCAACGGGCTATCTCACTCTGTCGGCCTGCTTGCCTTTTTGCTCACACCGTTGATCAAATTACATCACTCACTGATCGATGGGGCTCTTTTGCCTTCCCATTACTTCAGCCATTTGTGGCGACAGCGAAATGTCCGTCTTTCAGTCCACGGAATGGGGTGCATTGCTGTGTAAATTTAGAATTCGCACATGGAATTGCTGCCGCTCAAATGCGCCTTATTGCTATGATAGTATCATGTTGCCAACAACACATTCGTACAACTCCTACTCTACCCACTCATTCACACTAAGTTTGCAACAACGATTAGAGTTCGCGTCTGAGGTAATACGGTTCTCTCGACACGCTAATACTGCTAATACTGCTGCGTACGCAGGCGTACGAGCAAGTACCACGGCGCGCTCTATTCGCTCAAGAAGGACCGCGCCGGAAAAAATTCGCGTGGTGCTCAACTACCACATGGCGACAAATTGTCAAGATGCTGAATTCCGGTTTGGCTATTATCGGTCCCGTAATAGTTCCGGGTTGGGTAGCCAGAGAAAATGAACACCGCTGGCTGCAATCCCTTGTGGACATGACGCGGAATCTCGGACAATGGAAGATTTGTTTGAGTTTATTTATGTATCATGTTGACAAATACATAATCACTAAACAAATGAAAAACAACACGGAGTGTAAAAAGAATCACAGAAGCAGCTTTGTTTTGGCGGTCTCCTACTGTGGTTTTATACACATTCTTTCCATGGTTCCATTGTTCTTGCATAAACTATATATATATATATATATATATATATATATATATATATATATATATATATATATATGGTTGGCGGCATCCGGTTTCGGATTTGCCTGTCATTGTGGCCAGCCACAGGACGCCTGCGTCTACAGAGGGACCATGGATGGCTTACGCTGCACTACCCACAGCTCCAACCACACACCCCATATCCAGTGTAAACCCGAAGGAATAAGACCGGGAGGCATGTGGATGGGAGCCACGTCTCATCAACGGAGCCGGCCCACACTCCTTCACAGGCGAACACAAGCACGCTGTATTTGGGGAATCAAGCGCACACAAGGCGGTGGCTGGACCGTAGTCCCCTCCACACTGAGTGCATGGAACCACTCTTCGAGCCTAGCACGGCCACAAGGACCGTGTACCCCGTCCCCTCCAGCAACGACCAACGGTCTCCTAGAGCAAGTATGGAGGAGGTAGTGGGTAATAGACAGGTAGGCACCTTGTCAACATGCACATCAAGCGCAGCCACACCGGGGATATCAAGCAGCAGCCAAAGAAAATAAATCGAGTAATGCATAAGGAAACGGTGATATAAATCTTAAATTAATGCGCATATGAAATAAGTTGTTTACAAAAGAATCCGAGAGAAGTTCATCAGGTCAGAAGGCATATTTTACGGAAATGACAAACACGAGAATCTTATCGAAATTAACTGCAGTGGGTTTAAGCGACGTGTGCAAGTTTATAGAAGAGAGTCCAGGTAGACATTTATATGAGAAAGAAAAGCATTAGGACAAAATTGAAAACCCACCAACTGAAATAAAAAGACTTAGCATGCAAGCACGCGGTTAGTAAATCGAATGTAGCGTACCTACAAATGCTGCGCCGGTTCTGCCTACGTTCTCTGCCGGACCCGTCGTCGCTTCGGTAGTGGTCCCGAGTGACCTCGCTCATGGCCCACTAGGCCTGCCTGACTCAGGCACTCGCGACCGCATGTGCTACAGCACCATGCGCTCGATGTCGATGCAGTAAAACCCCTCGGTGCTTGCCGCTTCTTCTCTGCATGTATGAGGTCTTTCTCCCGCACATCGGTAACAACCTTCGTGATTAGATGGCGCCGATCAACCGCCTTCCATTCCCATGACCTGCAATCAAGATTAGAACGTGAGAGGCTCACTTTGATTATATATATATATATATATATATATATATATATATATATATATATATATATATATATATATATATATATATATATATATATATATACTCTTTTTCTTTCTCTCTCTCAAGTGATTGGCTGTTGTTTGATATCCCCGGTGTGGCTGCGCTTGATGTGCATGTTGACAAGGTGCCTACCTGTCTATTACCCACTACGTCGTCCATACTGGCTCCAGGAGACAGTTGGTCGTTGCTGGAGGGGACGGGGTGCACGGTCCTTGTGGCCGTGTTAGGCTCGAAGAGTGGTTCCATGCACTCAGTGTGGAGCGGACTACGGTCCAGCCACCGCCTTGTGTGCGCTTGATTCCCCAAATACAGTGTACTTGTGTTTGCCTGTGAAGGAGTGTGGGCCGGCTCCGTTGATGAAACGTGGCTCCCATCCACATGCCTCCCGGTCTTATTCCTTCGGGTTTACACTGGATATGGGGTGTGTGGTTGGAGCTGTGGGTGGTGCAGCGCAAGCCATCCATGGTCCCTCTGTAGGCGCAGGCGTCTTGTGGCTTGCCACAGTGACAGGCAAATCCGAAACCGGATGCCGCCAACCATATATATATATATATATATATATATATATATATATATATACTATTGCCTTCAAAATCGTACCATCCAAGTACGCGTCGACGGAGCGTTGTCTCCCAGCATCGTTGCCACAAGCGGAGTTCCACAGTGGTCTCTTCTCGGACCGCACCTTTTCCTAGCCTTCATTCATGACGTCACAACGCAAGTTGAGTCTTCGCTGCTGCTATATGCGGATAAGGCGAAGGTGTGACGCACAACTAACGTTCCGGGCGATGCTCACACACCTCAGACGGACCTCAACCGTTTACATCAGTGGTCCATAGAAAACAACCTTCCATTTAACGCTTCGAAATGTCGCGTCCTTTTAACCGCTTTTCCCCCTATTTATTTCCTGGGAGCGTCTATCCTCCAGATCTCTTCAACCGAAAGATACTTGGGTATCATTACCCAGAGGAGTCTTTCTATATCCGCTTCCTGCCGGAAAGCAGCTACTGCTGCTAACCGCATCGTGGGATTGCTGAAACGAGCCTACGGTCAAATGGATCCTAACAATTTCTGCATCCTCCTCAACGTTTTACTTCGACCCCACTTGGAGTTTGCTATTCAGGCTTGGAGCCCCTGGTTGTTGAAGGGCCAGCGTGTACTCGAAGCCTTATAACGTC